AAATGTCGGAAAGGGGACCCTATGAGACCTGTCTCTTATACACATAAACCGTCTCTTGTAATAATGCTATAGCACTCATAAATAAAGTGTCAAATCTGGGTCGAGCAGCCTTTTTCACATTCGCAGATTGTGACCCCAGTTTTCTCTCGCATTACCATACAGTACCCCACATTGTGAGGACGTATATCAGTTGTGCGTTGAAGTGTATCTGGCTGGCCGATAGATCTTCGAGGTCTAGAAGTATGACGTTCTCCTTGTAAGTGAGAGGTCGTAGGTTTGAGTCCCGACTGAGACATCATTAACACAACTGTTAAGGAACTTTTTCGTTGAAGGGCTATGCCTGATGATTCATCTATAACATAATTTGTTCCTAATTTGAGCACTGTTTCCATAATTTGCTAATTGTTTTTATATATATATATATATATCTGTACACATTTTGTTTTGTTGACGTTCATACTGAAATGTCACTCCCCTTTCTATCTAAATACTGTTTCGAACCATTGCTTGATAACTTTACCGTCGCCTGGCTGGAACGACGGTCACACATATACTTATAATACGACATCTCGCTGCATCGGCAGCTTAAAATCCTTTTGTACGGTTTCCTATAATCCCTATTAAACATGGGATAAATAATGGGATTAAGACAAGAGTTCACGTAACCAAACCACAAAAATATACTTTCAATCGATCGGGGAATTATACAACCGCAATAGGGTCTGACTAATGTCACAATAAAAAATGGCAGCCAACAGAGAATAAAAGCACCCATGATTATTCCTAAAGTTTGAGTAGCTTTTCGTTCCCGCCTGCTTGACGCTCTTAGTAGCATAGAATTTCTGCGCCAAAAGTAATGTGCAGAGAGGCTACTCCGGCGTCGTTTTATTTGGTCGAGCCCGCCAGAATTTTTTCTCAGCAAGTTATTTTCGTTTACATTTGGCACCTCTAGATGCGCTCTGATCGTTTTCTCATCCTGAGAATTTTGGTTCACTGAAGTCAATCTTCGTTTCTGGACGGTAGCCGCTGCCGTTGCCGCTTTATGAATCTTAAAATACACAACCAACATAATCGCTAGCGGGCCATAAAACGCACCGAGGGTAGAATAAATCGTGTACCCTAAATCCTGACTTACAAGACAGTTGTTATCTTCGTGGACATTTCGTCCCCATCCAAAAAGGGGTGGTAGGGTTATGACTGTAGCCAGTGCCCAAACACAAGCCACAACTACAGCCATGAATTTTGAAGTCCTTCGCTTAAAATATTGCAGTGGTCTTGTTATGACAAGGTATCTGTCAACACTTATCATACACAAATTCACGATGGAAGCTGTACAACAAAGTATGTCCAAGAAAATCCACAAATCACAAATTGTATCGCCTAGAAGCCATTCACCGGTCACCTCAGTAACCAGAGCCATTGGCATCACCAGAATTGCAACCGCCATGTCCGACACCGCTAAGTTGACGTATAGGTAGTTCGACGGCGATCGTAGTTTACGCTCCAGAAAGACAGATAATATCACTAAACAGTTTCCAACTATAGTGCACACTATCAATAAAGTTAACGTCATAATAATCACCACAGCATTAAATGTGGAATTGTATATTACCATTTCAGTGGGACCCGATGGTGTTGAAGAGTTACAGTCGCTGGAGTAATCCATATTAAACGTACCGCCTAAATATTCTTCCATTAAACTATAGTACCGGTAATGTCAGGAGACGTTCTCCTAAATAGCGTCGAAGTACATTCCGTATCAATCTATGATTACAAAAATACTGCGGCACATTGTCAGTATGAGACCATAAAGAAAGAATATAACCGCAATCTCGATGGTAGAAACAGCTTTCAATCTCCAACGCCTTACCAAGTTGACAGTCGAATGTACGGTGATTGTCTATCGAGTGCTAACAGCTAGAAATCGAATCGATCATTCTTTGTCAGAAGAAACAATTAAAATAAGATAAAAAACCCTAAGTCTTATCCGTAACTCATTCATAGCGTACAAAAAAGTTGAGCCCAGTCTATTGTCTTCCGACCCAAGACGCCAATAGTAACACACTGTGGTGTGCGATTGCTCGAGAAGAAACATAGATTACCTGGTCCAGACAAGACAGAATACGCCCAGTGCTCCATAAAAGCTGCCCTGTTCTTTCGGCACCTACTTCTGTTGTCCTAGCTTTTCATCTTTATGCATAACTCACTGTTAATGTCCTAACAAGTCCCAAGTGATGTGTAGTGGGTCTATCAAATTGCAGTAGGATTCCAGTAGTTGCAGATCAGCCACAAAGATTTCGGCCCGGCCCCTAAATAATTTTCCCCTTCCTCTGCGTATTCGTTAATATTTAATTCGGCGCTCCTCTGTCAAATATTTGCTGTATTGCATTCGCTACCCCTATCCGTCAAATTTACATGACCAAAATTCCTGTGACACTGGCTTTGATATAGGCCTATATGTTGCTGTATACTAGCCTGACCTAAAAAAAAAGCACAAAAAAAAAACGAGTTTTAACTCTTGCAAATTAATTGAATTCTGTTGTTATGAAAATGCAAGACATACACGTAGATATAATAAATCATTATGAAATATCACTGATTTAATTTAATCGATTGGTACGGTAAATAATTAAACGATAGGCCTATTTGATTAATTTGTTTAAATGGATATTTCACTTGCATCTTAACGTTTTCACTTTCGTCAGCATTGTCAGGAATGTTAAATATCACCGAGGATTTATTGAATCGAATGTAAACATTACCGTGGGTGATGTATAATGAATAACATTAATGTCCAACATTAAGTTATTGCTTTTTCTATCTAATGTTACCCGGTGGCGTATCTGGAGTCTTGAAATGGGGAGAGTGGCTGAGAGGGGTGCTTATCGGGCGCGAAGGTCTTATAGGGGTGCGCGACAGAGGCGGATCCAAAAATGTCGGAAAGGGGACCCTATGAGTCTGGGGGAATGCCCCTGCGGATTTCTTTTTCTTGGGTGGGTGTGGAGGTGTGTAGAGACAATACGCTATTGTTTTATGGACCTTAGCAACAATATCCAAAGGCGGGGCTTACCGAATTGTCCATTCCTCATACACATGATTAAATATTTCTTTATATTTTCAAACACAGTTCGAAACAATGTTGTTTAATTTAAAAAAAAACCAAATAATAATGGGAAAATCAATATAATATTCCAGGTACGTGAGCTCATTTCAAGGTCTATTAAAAAACATTTATTGATATTGTTCAGTAGGACTTTAATTGTAGATATTTTCTTGATCTAATTTTTTAATTTAAAAAGCTATTAATTTACGTAACGATTTGAATATTTATTTCATTGTTCAAAATTATATTAGCTAATATTTTTATATTCTGTGTTTAATTAAGTTTATGACATTTTTAATGTTTTAAGCAACTAGCAATACAAATTTCATTGTTCACTTATTTGTTCGATGACAATAAATTATTCCTGATTATTGATAGGCTACATAATATGGGTCAACAATTATATCAGTATGGTGCTGGTCTAAACGTAAACGCATATAAGAATATTAAAAATAACTTCTGGTGTATGTTCAGCAATTTGAAAATTGTTTGTACTGCTCACTACATTGCAAATCATGTGCATGTTCAGATAAATCCGATGATCACGTGTAATAACGTTACAAATAGTTTGACGCAAATGGTCTTTAGATTACTGTAAATAAAGATTACTGAACATTACATATACAAAATAATACAATTATTCATCGTAAATTCTTTCACTCAAAAAAAAAATCTTTAATTAACTAGCAAAATCACTGATAACTGAACATTTCATTATTAAAGAGAGCAACAAAATGCAATATGCTTGGGTGAATTGAATTCGTTGACACTAGACTAAATGGTATCTATTTAAGAACATTGGCTTGGTCTACGGCAATTACATAAATATAAATAACGATTATTAGGTAATTATTTTAACGAGTATAAATCCCCTTCGTTAATTTGATTCCGTAACAATGCGCACTTACATTCTTGTCATGTCTTGCCTTATTTACTTCGTCTTATAAGCCCCGAGATTAACACTAATGCCATACCTAACACTGACCGAAGACAATAATTAGGCCTGAGTCTTTTCAGATGGAGTCATCACGCTTTTAATTCGTTCAGTTGTCAAATGGTATCAGGTTAAAGAGCGGGGAGAGACAACCACAGATAAAGTGCCTTTGCCTAAGGACACAAGCGAAATGCACAGCGAGGGATTGAACCTCCGACCTTACGATTGAGAAACAGTTGCGTATTTGGAAGTCTTGAAATGGGGGTGCTGATGGAGGTGAAGGTGAAGTGGGGGCTCGATGATCGATTGAGGGGCGCTAATTCGCAAAATAAGGTGATTTTAGGTGATTTTTAACTACTTTACCGTGATT